AGTGTCAACATCAAATTCTTTTTATTTAAAAATGCAAGTCCTGCAGGATGGGAATATTACAACTGTACACCCTCTGTATCACAGAATAACTGACAACTTCTATTTGTACACTTATGAAGCAGAGGAAAAGGAGGGGAGTTCTTACTAACCAGGTCAGAGAAGCATTCTTAATAGTAATTTACAAAAAACTGAGATGTATGAAGTATATTCAGGATATTTTCTATGTGCTTGTACATCTTGTACATTGTAATTAAAATTGCCATTTCACCAAGTAGCATGAATTTCACACACTATTTTTAAACTGCGACTTCACATCATCATTTCACAATATGAACAACCACTCACTTGTTTATGCAGCTGAAAGATTAGGGGGTTTTAACGGTACAATTATTGTTATTTTAAAATATGGATTGTATTTAAAATATTTACATTTTAAATATGAGTAGCAATATTTCCTAGGAGGACTTTATTCAGTAAATCCTGCCCCAATGACAAGTTTGCCTGCATATTACTATTTTTTTTTAGAATGTCATTGATATTAGTGTGCTAGATTATCAAGGAGCATTAATAGTAGAATAAAATCAAGGAAAAAGATGGATAATATGAGTATCTCCAGTGTTACTGTGGGAGCTACATACATACTTGAAGAAACAGTGTAGACCTACAGAAAGCTCCACATATGGTACACTTTTTTTTTTTTTAATCTTCTTAATTGTCCTCTTGTATCACTTTAATCAGCACTGGGATAACATGATTAGTGGGTTTAAGAAAATACCCTAGTAAGGGGACCTGAAACAGCAGCTTTTACTTGAGGTCAGGCTGAGAGAAGGAATCTGTGAATTTTGTAGAACTACAACTCCAGCTCAGCATTGCCTCCTGCCCACATTTTTATAGACTTGAAATCCATAAAGTCAGCACTCGGCAATGAGCAGGTCCTGTATAAAGGTGAAAACATGCGCTGTCATCTTGCTGGGCCTGAGAGATGAATATTACTTTGTCATATCTTTGAATAAGGAGAAGACTGTTTTAAATACAGCTGGAAGGAATGCCAGTAGCTCAGCAGGATGAGCCTTCTTGCAGACATGCAAAAACAACTGCAGCCAATTTAGAAGCAGGTTGAAAGAACTAGAAAATACGGCCCTATATGTATAAATAAATACATCTAACAAAATACTCTAAAAATCTGTTTCTCCTTCCCTGCCTGCCTGAAACTGTTCCTGTTTTTTCCACCGCTATGCTCGACAACATTGTTAATTGCCAAACCGCTGTAAAGGATGCACAGAGTTAGGTGCTAATGAGATTTCGTTGTTGCAGGAGGGCAACTACTTGCATCGCAAGGTCTCATTTCGCTTTGCCTGTTCTTATTTTCCAGTCTGAGCCTCACCAGTGCTGGCACAGAGGGACATGAGGTGATCCTAGACTCCTGCCAGATACAGAAAACCTCAGCTGAGAAACGTCAAGAAGCCGTCTGCATTGCCTCGGCTGGTGCAGCGCACACACACCTGATCCGAAGGCTTGTTTGTGTTGGGCTTTCCTGAAATCCTCTTGGCGGTCTGTAGAGCTTATCCACTCCTGGGTTTGCCGCTGCCACTCTAATGACGTCCTAGCTTGCCGGTCCAGGGAGCTCTTTGTTTCATCTATGTTCGGTGCATGCTGCCTCTCAAGAGAGCTTCCTTTCCTCTCTGCCGAGCCTCCACGCTGGCCGGGGACTATTTGCTGCCTTAAACCCTGACCAGGGGGTGGGTCGGGTGGTGGTGGAAGATCTAAAAAATGTGAATAAGATTTAGATAAACTACTATTTTAATTGAAACAGAAGGTCTATTTGATGCTGAAAAGAAAAGTCCCTTGCAAATGGCACGAATCACTTCATTTGCTGATTTTAGAAAGAGGAAATTTCATGTTAATCAGAAATGTGTTTTCACCTTCCGCTAGTCTTTTACTCGGGTTACTGTGTTGCTAGCTCTTTCTAACTTCCATAAAGATCAATAGACTGCGAGCCCTGACTTACGTTTCTAAGCATGGGATTTATTTTCTGTGGGGTATACTCCATCTGGCTCTTTCAGTAACAGCAAGCAATTAAGAAAGGCTATGAAAAACTGATCTGTGCCAGTTGACAGAGTAATTTCCCCCTATCATATTGGGCCTTGGTTCATCACCTCCATTTTTGGGCTTCACTTTCAGCTTGCGGCTTAAACTCAAATTCTAAATATACAACTTTATCAAAATGCATAAAATTCCACAAAACTTTGGGGAAAAATTGTTCACAAAACCTCCTGTCATTGAAAAAGCATCAACACATCTGTGAAAAATGCATGTTTAAATGGAACCATCAAACAACAGGTGAGCATTTTGTTCAAGCACTATTTGAAAGTTCAGCCAGAGCTAGATAGAGTCTTCACAGACAAGAGGATGGCCACTCTTAAGTTTAGCAGTCTTGCAAATATAACCAAACAAAATACAATTTCAGCTGAACACTGAAAGATGCTTGCCTGGTCTCTAACAACTCTTATTCTTTTCCAGTTCATGATTTAGACTGCTAAGATGCTTGTAGAATTGAAGATCAAGCTTCTAATCACATTTGTGGAGTCAAAAGTACGTTTTGTTTATTAGTCCTTTACCCAAGATAATTATAGAATATGGATAATTATAATTCTAAATGTAAGATCTTCCTGCAAACTATATGACAGACTTAAAATAGTCCATAAAAAAAAAAAAAATCGAGAAAGGAAGTGCCTTTAATATTGTAATAAAACTCTCCCATATAGGATACCTGTTTTATATGAAGAACACTTGTTGATAATTCTGGTTTTGAGCAATGCATAGCCCAAATAAATCTGTGTAGCCCCACCAACTTCACTAAACCTATGTTAGTTTACACCAGATATGTGTCTGTCCTGCTTTCCATTCTTTTGTACCTTACGGTGTTGTCAAGGTTTGTCAAGGAATTGAACTTGGCTCAAAAGGCATGGAAAAGTAAACCTTTGCTTTGCCTGCAGGAAAGTCTCCTGTTTATAACTCTAGTAAAACTGAAATTAGTTTTATAAATTCGTGAGGAGGCCTTTGGAGTGAATTTATTTTGAAGGCTGTAATCCAGCTTTATATAATGCTACAGACTTTTTTCATGTCCTTGCTGTTAGAGGTGATACTTTTATCTCTGACATGGGGCAGAAATGCTTCCAAAGTTGCTGAGATGTCATTCCAGTCAACATTGTCTCTTACAGATAAATGATGATGTGTAGGTTATTTGTGTCTACAAGGGAAAGAAGTTGTATCTGACGTTGCTCCTGTACCTTTGTTCACAGCTGAAGTGCTATACCCCAGATTAAGATATCTGTCTTCTGGCTAGAACAGCCTTATAATAATCTGTCAGCGAGCTTGGTGTATGCTTTATGTTCAGCACTAATTTATTTGAGAAATTTTTAGTTATGAATATAGACCTGACCTTTCATGACAATGACTATACTTGAGTTACTGTAGGTGGAAGCGGGAGGGTATGGGAGCTTGCCAATGTTAAAATTGCTTTATAGTGTTGGCTTCAAAAACGGCATTTCGTATAATTGATTTTATTGCAATCATAACCAGTTAATGTACAGAACCACAACACTGGCATCTGCTTATGCAATCTGAAATAGAGATTACTGAAGTTGTGATTTATAAGCACTTTATGGAGATGCATTAAATCCAATAAACACAGTCATAACATGACATCTGACAATGCAATTTTCCAAGATAAAATATTTACTGTTCAATATAAACAAAATTTTAAAGTAGTATCATAGCAAAAAAAAAAAAAAAGTTAAAATTACTGCAGTATTAAACTTCTTAACGCACAGTACCCTTCTTCAGAAATTGCCATCTAATAGTTGTTACTAATTAGATACTGAGAAGGAAAGAAGGTTTGTACTTAAACTGTACTGCATGTTCCAGAGCTAGCTGCAACTCCTGGAATTACTGTAGACTTATGCTGCTGATCTACTGTTAACCTGATTCTTGCTTTTATCCATCTGCAAAATGGGCAGAATGATTGCCTGATGCATAGAAGTGAAATGAAAAAACATGTTTGTAAAGTTCTTTGGGTGTTTTAGACCCGTGGATGAGTTGAAATCAAAAATAAAATTTAGCTTCTGATGAAGCTTCACACAATTCTAGAAGAACTATAGGTACTACAGAATTAATGCAAGCTGGCTCCAGCCTGAGCACAGACTTACTGAACTGTGTTAGATGTGTCTGAGAAGATCTGTAAGAACGGTTACTAATTCTAGCTAACCATCACCTGACTAAACTGTTTGCTTTTTCACCTTCTTACTCAGGTTGATTGTCACAGTAACACCTACCTTTCCTTTTTAATAAAAGAAGCTGGAAGAGAGCTTCATTTGCAAATGTGGCTTTTTATTTCCTCTACAGCTTAAATCCTGTAGTGCAAATCTTCTGCCTTAGGTAAATTACTAAATATGCTCTGTTATCTTTCCTGGGCATATATAAAGACCCCATGTATCTGGAGTCACAAGTTTCCTCCTCCAATGCCACAGAGAACAGTCTCTCCTCTCCTCTCCTCTCCTCTCCTCTCCTCTCCCTTCCCAGCCAAACATGTCCATATTTGACTGTGCACGTGTCTCCACACACACTGGCTAGTATGCATATACCTGATAGTTAATGGTTGGCATTTCGGCTGCTAGTAAAGGGAGACCAGACAAGTTAGTAGTCTCCGTCCCTAACGGGGAGACTTATTACCACATAGAGGCAAGCCAACTCATTCCATCACGTCAATCACTTCAGAGAAGTTTTGAATCTAGAAATTTAGGGACTTCGGTAGGATTTTCAGTGAGGATACCCAGAGTGTTATCACTGATTATCACTGTACTTCCATCTAAATGACACTTATCTTCCAGGTGCCAGGTAAAACACCCACATTGAGCTAGTAACTTACTAGGCCAGTGGGATGTCATCCAGACTACCACTTGCAGCCTCTAATGGCAAAATTATCAAACTTGCAAGGCAATTTATAAGTGCACTGGTAGGGAGGTGATGGTCTTATTGATTTAGTAATGGAGGGATTGTGATTGAGAAGCTGTAGGACATCAGAGTGCCTGATAAGAGGCAGATGGATGTTTGGCCTGGGATTACTCTAGCCCTCCTTTAGAAGGAAGAGCATTGGCCAAATGAATCAGGCACCAGTCAAGCTTTGGCACAGCCTCTCATTATTAACTGGAAAAAGCAGCAAGTTACAGAACCAACAAGTATAAGGAAATCCCTTTCTACCTGTGCCAGTGATTTGTTTTCCTAGGGGTGATAATTACTATGACATTTAATAAGCTTCTGAACCACTTTCTAGCATCAGAAGGTAAGCATGTTCTCTACAGTGATCTACCTCAGCAAAAATTGATTTGTAATACACAATAGCAAGTCAGTAGCAAAGCTAATAGAATTCCTAAGTTCCAGTTCTCCTTTTTAACCCCTAACTATATTTCCCTTCTGCCTCCTCTCTGGGTTTTTTGAACATCATGTTCAACTAGGGAAGAGCTTTTAACTTCAGTCATGCAGTTACCATGCCACCACCTATAGAACAAATTCTACTGTTTAGCAATTCATTAATACATCGTTTCCAAGAAAACAAATTATTCCTTGAGCACTAGAACTAAAAATCTCCTATTTGTTTTTTAGGGTGGACTGTGAGCTGAGAATGAAGGTTTTTAATCATTTGAGGGATTCATATGGTATTCTTCTGGATTTGCTCTTGTCTCCGTGGTCTTTTAGGATGGGAAGTTAAATACTAAGTTGTACAGGAAGGCAGATGTGAAGACTCAATCTAGAGTCAGTCTCTAGAGGATTCTGACCTGCGTCCGAAGAAGATGAAGCAGCAGGCTTTTAGGGGATTTGTGTGGATTGCTGTCAAAAGTAAGCATGAAGTTGTACCCTCATATGCTTACAAAGTTGGGGATTGGTGTGCTACATGTTAAATATTACAGTTCCTTCAGTCTTTTGCACCATCTCACATGGTTACAGTTAACAAGGGGGAAGTGCTCAGGAAGTGTACTGGAAAGGTCAGAGAACAGACATGGCTGGAGCTTACTTGGTCAACAAAAATTTAAAATTACAGATAACCAGTATGTGATGAGACTTAAACACAGGATGCTAGGCCTCATCCAGCTTGGGAATTTGAAGATGACTGACAAAGCAAGTATGTTGTCATATGACAAATCCAAGAGGAAGCAGTTGTAAGGGAATTGATTGGAGACATCTCAAAACCAGGAGAAAAAAATATCATGACACTTCCCACTGAAATCAGGACAGCCCAGGGCTGAAGAGACTGGCCTGGATTAGGGCTCAGAATTGCTGGATCTATCCCAGGTTCTCCCACTTGCTTTTTCTAACCATAGCTTAAGCGTAGTGGTATTGTCTCTCTTTGCAAAGTTCATTGCAATATTCCTCATAAAGCATCCAGTTACTGTTTTTAATTACTGTATACCAGAGGTTCCTAAATTCAGTTAGTTTACATACACCCAGGTGGCAGCAGCAATCTTTAGCTTCCTTAATTGACAAATGTTCTTTTGCAAATTTAGCTATGACTCAGACTTGCTGTTACACTTTCATGACTCATATTCAGTAAGAGTTGAAGTGGAAAAACTGTACAATTTTTGTGTGTTCCTGTGGTAAGAGAGGATGGGAAAGGATCCTCTATTACTCCAGGACATTATAAATTTTTGGAACATATAGTAAACAACTTTAACTAGGTTTATAACAGACTAATGCTAATCTAACAGTGTCCAAAAGCTGTTATGGATACTGCCTATGTCTGAGAGGTGAATTATTGAAGGAAATGGTATATCATTGGTCTTCAGACACAAATATATAAAAGAAAGTCCAATAAGATTAATATTGTATAAAGAAAAAATAAAAGACAATAGAAGATTCCTCTTTTTTTTTTTTTTTTTTTAATAAATCTTAAAATCTGATCTCTCACCAGTTTAAAACAATGCCAGATTTTGTGATGGAGTCACTCCCTGAGGAGTCACACTTCCATCTGTCTCATGACCTGTAATTTTCTGGTATCCACATTATTGTTAAACATTTTTATAGGAATAGTATTCAAGAGCAGAAGGATTAAGGTCCCACCATACCGAGTGCAGTATAAACTCACATGTACACAGAATTCGTGGTCCAAAAGGCTCATAGTTCAGGGTGACAGGATATGCCACGCAAAAGGGTTGACTTGACGTATGCACAAAAAGAGTATTGACAGCACCGCAAGCAACCCACAATTTCCAGCTGCTATTCTCATAGACACCTCTATTTAATGGATCTGTATAGCAGGGAGGCCTCTGGAATATATCCAGAAGGGGAGGGCATTAATGTTTAAACTAATTCAGATCCATATGAGTGGAGTCTAAGCTACTTTAAGCTGTTTTCCCAAATAATGTGGTAGTGAGGATGAGCCATAATTTATTAATATATTTTATACATGTATCTGAGTAATAGCACATTATAAATAAACCAAACTAAATATACTCTCTATCAAATCTATTTATTACACTACCTGTCCAAAGAAGATAATGAAGAGAGTTGGACTTGATGATCTTTATGGGTCACTTCCAACTCGAGATATGCTATGATTCTATGATTCTCAAGTAATTTTTGCTAGAATAAGGAGGACGTTTATACTAAAATCTAAAGGTTTGGGGTTTTTTTTATTATTTTTATGTCTTCCCCATACACTGGAAGATTTGTCAAGATGTGCTTAAGATTAGGAGACAGACTGTCTGGCATCACACCCACTCCTGTGGTCCAGATAGTGTTATGAGAGCCACTGGGGCAGATAGGACAGTGTAGCTCTCAGAATTTCCCTGCTGTGAACACTGAAAGAGAGGTCAGCATGAGGAAAGTGATCATGTCTCCATCTGCATGGCATTACAGATATCCTTAGTCATTCCTTTACGCTGTTCTTCCATTTGCCTGCTTCTCCACTCTGATCATTTCAACACCTACAGGGGCCAGGCCAGAGATCAGAAGAAATGAAGGGGAGGTAGCCAGCCATCCACCTTCCTATCCAGTCCTCCTCAAGAAGTAACAGGCAGCAATTGCATCTTTTGCCAAACTCAAGAGGGGGTAGACAAAGATAATGGAAGACTGAGCTTAGTCACTAGAAGAGTAGAATAGACATGCCTGAAATTTCCAGATGGGAAGCAGTGATCAGAGAGTAGCGGAGATGTCAAAGAGGGAAACAAAGTCACTGAGGTCAGTGGATGTCAGGAATGAAGCAGCATGGACAAGACATGAGGCAGAATCATGAGAAAAGCGTGGCACGCATTGCTATAGCTGTTAGGTGGCTGTCAAAAACAGCACAAACAAATCAGGGCATTGTGGGACTTGACTTCTCCTTAGGAATTCATGCATACTGCTACTGCTGGTGGTGGCTACTTTCATTTTATGTAAAATTACCCACAGGCCATTTTTTTAATATCAACCCATGTGTAATGCAGTGATTTTTGGGTAAGATTTATATTGAGATCTGAGAAAACTTAAGGGATGCTAACGTGTTCAGAGCTGAAACAAAGAAAAGCTCCTTGAAGACTCACTTAACCAAGCTCCACGCTGCTAGCATTGCAACATTGCTCATTGGCAACCTGGGGACCCCACTTCACCAAAGAAATAACTCATCATATTCCTTGAAAGATTGCTTTATGTTCTCCCATTCTGCACACCTGCTTGTTGCAGGGTATCATCAGGGACTTCACACCGCGACACTTACCGTCTGTTATTCCCTCCCTACGATGAGGCAAAGGGGGTTGATCCAACCGTCCTCCCTTGTGTTTTTTAGTGGGCCTCGGCCTCTGACTCTGATTGACAGCTGCACTGGTGTTGCTGTCAGTAGAAAAAGGACTGCTCGGCCGAGGTCTCTGAGAGGAAGGGTATGCTTTGCCTAAAAAAAAAGAGAAACCAGATGACAAAATGTTATTGCCTTGAAAAGGGCTGTTCTATTAATGTCTGTTCCAAAACATTAAATCTGGTCTAATTCTCAGAGGCAAGCAAGTGTCCCCTTGAGGTACCAACTGATGACAACTGCTTTAAGACACACCACAACAAGTGAAGTGAGAAACTTGGCATTCTTTTGTCTTTAACTTTTATAATTAAAATCATTCCATCTGTTGTGATAAAACTACTGTATGCCATGTAACTCTACCTGCTCTGTGTGCTGAACAGATGTGTCATAACAACTCCTCAGCCTTGAGAAGGGAAGGAAAACAGTTCTGCAATCATATCAAATTTATCTCCTCCTGCCTTCCACCTTCACATTTGCCGAGCCAGATTCTCATTTTAGGGGCTCCCATATGCGCTGTATATCTGGACTAACTCCAGTGAGATAAACATAACTGATTTTGTAAGCTATGTAGCAGTGTAGGTTTGTATGCTTAAGGGCGCTCTTTTCTCAAGAAATAAAAACGGGGGTATGTTTAAATGCTAAAATCTTCCTGTTCATTTTCAGTAGTTTTATATGTTAAGAAAATAATGTATTCTGACTGAATTTATTGCTCAAATTTATATATATATGTATATAGACTAATCAAGCTATGTGATTTCTCTTAAAAAAAAATCTTTGGTGCTGTTCTATGGAGCAGATCATTAGAAGCATCACAGCAGAAACCATAAGAGCACAGTTCACTTCCTCCATTCACTTCCTCTTATTTTGATATTTTTATTCAGTTAATTTAACTAGGCTTATTGTTTAATAATAACTGATGAAAACTAAAGATCACCATCTTTTACATTCTTTTTTTAATCTGTATGTCATTCTTGCCAAGTATCTTGGGGATGTTAACGTTTTAATTCATTTAGAACTGGCACTTAAAATTCTTACTTGTTTTAATCTTATCTGCAGCAGCAAATGTATAAGCCAGTCAGAACTTCTGCTCTTTCAGTGCTACTGTAGGCCCAAAAGGTGTAAGAGTTGATGGAAAGTGGCAAAATGGTTGGTTGTTATTTTTCTGGCCAACAGACCCCATGCTAGTAGGGAGCTTTTTTATCTTCTGGTTAACCTAGACTAGGGTCTACCCTGCTGTAAGATATGTCTTCTAGTAAAACCTTTCAACAGATGCACTTACTTCCAACATGCCGTCACATACAACCTGATCTAGATAAGCCTAATCAGGAGTAATACGCTATCCACTACACTATTTGAAATATTCTCAGTGCAAAGAGGGCAAAGTGAAAAAAAGTAGCTGTAATCTCTCTAACATGGTGTTTCACATTAATACATACATGTTAGAATAATATCTCAGTATTTGACTTCAGAGATTTCCTGACTGTCTCAGGCTCGATCTGACTGATCTGCACCCTGAGGAGGCCACGTCTCTCAGGCAGGCTTGTCTCCCAGCTGCATGTCACTGCCAGCTGTTGGAGGTTACCACATTGGAACCCCTGATGTGGACATTCCCTACCATCTCCTCTACCAAAATAAGCCAAATTGAACTTAAACAGTATGAAAAGTATGCCTTTGCTAACCTGGCTCATTTTAACTGAAATGGGTTACAGAATGCCCACCCAAGCAGCTAATTCTGGAGCTGGGAGAAAGCAGTAATAAGCATTTGGGGGAAGGCTGGAAACATTAACCTCTATAGCTGGCACAGCTGCAGCCAGACAAAGACAAGTGATCAAGCCCTTGTTTCAGAGATAAGGATAAAACAGCACATGAACACAGACAAAATATTAAAACTTCATTTAAAAATATAAAAAGACCACTAATGCAAAGAAATTCAGATATGAGCCTGAAATTCCGTCCTAACTCACAGCACATTGCACAGATGTTTTGCAAAAATAAACTCGCAACATGCAAGTGCAACTAGTGAGTGCAGGACGAAGATTCTTCACACTTATTGTCTTGACTAAAGAAATGTGATTTGTCATTCAGAATGTTGGTTTGAAAAAGAAACAGACACCACACATTCTCTCTTTTATCCCTCCATGAAAACGAGGGGAAATAAATAGCACTGACCTAAATCAGATATGGGGCAAACACAAATGATGTGCAGGCTCCCAAAAGACATTTTTCAGTGCACCTAATAACTGATCACAGCATCTTGTATTTGTACGTAGCCCTTCCAGTAAGAACTGCTGAGCAGTGTCAGACTCCGTAGGAGATTTAGTGTAAGTGGAGACAAGGATGAATCCACTAATTCTTGATTTAATATCCTAAGGGTGTTAAAAAGGAAAACTGTCTGAGCTTCATGGCAAATCACACGATGGCTTCTGGAAACTGGAATCAAAGTGTCTGGCAGGAGAGACACCTTGTGCCTAGATTTACCAGTGCCTCTTATGCTTGGCAATCAAACGCACCCACGTGAGGCTATCAAGTTGGACTTCTCCTTTCGTATCAGTGAAGATATTTCACAGCTGTTCTGAATGGGAGGAAATAACTGTCCAGACTGCAAAGGAGTGAACAGTCAGGACCTTCAGACTCCCTCCAGAACGATGAACCGAAATAGTACTGCTGCTTCTCCACCACAAGACACCATTTTGCATGATGAGGGGTTTGCTGTGGTGCAGCAGGTCCGTAATAGGCATGTTTGATTGATCCATGCTACCCTGGGAGGTATCATGTCATAATGAAACTGCACTAAGCATTGGGGAGTTATTTCCTTTTGCTGAGGTTTTTGTGAGGAAAAGAGAGGAGGCCTGTTTGTTTACGTGTGGGTTTTATTTTGTTTCCATTTTGCTTGCTGGATTATTAGGAGACTAAGAAGGTAATAATCATAAAGTCTCTACCACAACCACTGGATACTTTGTCGTACCCTAAACTCTAATAGCCTGTCCAAGGAATTACATGCAAGTATTCAGTTTAAGTGCATTTGTGACCTAATTAAGCCAGGAAAATATAACTGACAAGAGGACTCCCATCCTTTCCTTGTACTTTCCACTTACATAGCTACAATAAGAAATTCTATTTATTTAAAAGTGTCTATATGTTTGTGTGTCCCTTTACTTTTGTTATGTGTGTGTTTGTGGTGGAAACTGTACTTCTCAATGGCCTGATACAAGCAACATTAACTTTGGGTGAATATTTGCATTAGCTTTTTCTGAGGCCAAGAACAACACCAAAAAAACCCCCAAAACACTGGGAAGGATTTGCTCCTTTCATTCAAGACTGTTTAGGAGACTCTTCAAGCGAAACAGTATATTTTAGTATAGTTTGGCCAAATATGCCCATAGCAGATGAGTAAAGGTATGCATCAGTTTTTGTTTTGTTTTGCTTTGTTTTTTTCAAATGATGAGACAGATTTACTTAGTCAATTATCCACTAGTGTAAGAAGCAAGTGAGGGTTTTAGCTACTTTTAACAGTGAAATAACTATCTTTTAAGGATTATTGTGTCTGAGCAAAGTCAATGGCAAAAGTCCTAGTGATTCGAGAAAAGCTGTAGCTGTTCACCCCATAGTTTGTTGGCAATACAGGACCTTGCCATCAATTCTTTTTTCATTCCTAAGGCTCCGAAAAGGCAGTGTTTGCCATGAAGAAATTGTATGCAGAAAGCCTGCAGTTTTCAGCCCTAACATGTGGAGGCATTTCTCATAAATGCACACTTTTTACTGAAGGATAGACTTCATTCCGGACTAATAGTAAAATAGTAAAAAATTTTAAGTGATAGGAACATTATGGGACCTGTGGGCAGGAATCAGCTGAGAAAGCATAACAAAAATATGACCCAAGTTCATACTTTGCTATTAGATCTATGGATTTAAATAACTAGTTACTTTTGCTATTTTGATAAGACTAAGCAAATGCAAATACATTCTGTTTTTCCAGAATATTTAAAAATAATTTTTACTTTTTTTTTTTCTAGAAATAAAACATATGGAGCTTTAAAAATATGAACTGAATTATGTTTACTTTTCATTAACTCATTTTAGGATATCGACCATTTTCAAAAGCAATAGTCACTTTACCTTTGTTACATTTAACTTGTCAGATTCAGTTGGCATAATTAAATTAAATCTTACCAAAATACATTAACTTATTGAATTAAGTATTTTTAAAATCAGCTATTAATACGGCTTTTAAACCGTCTGTATTGATAACAATAAAAGCACACCATTTCACCCCATGCTTAGAAAAACTTCACAGAAAAATACACTTTTGCAAGAAGAGAAGCAACAGAAGAGCAGGGATGGAGATAATAGTGTAAACATGATGTTCGTCACTGGAAATGTGAATGATTGTGAGGAGATTTTGCAAAAAACCAAAACCATCAAAGACCATGGCAGAATTAGTGATCTCTTCACCGAAATATTAAATGGAGCATATGTCAGTAAATCTACAGCAGAGTCAGCACAGAGGGAAACTGCAGCAGACTGAAGGTGCAGATTAAAAGCTTGTGCTATTCACTACTTCAAGTCACTAAAAATGAAACATAGTGCAAGGTTTCTTTTAAAATACACTGATAAAAATATCTCCATCCACCTTATTCCATGCATGTTAGACAAGTGTGAGATGCAGGTTCACTGAAAAGAAGAGAAGAATAGGTAGAGACACCCTTCATGCAGAAAGCATCAACTTTGAGTCTACAAACCTGTTCTTGTCAGGCTGGTTCCATCCAGCCTAAAACCAGCTTTATCTGCTGCTGCAACCAGTGCTTGTGCAAAACTGCCGCTGGTAAAGATCGAGTCATCTGAGGAGCTACCTACACTAGATCTATGACTAGAAAAGTTACGATCCTCATCAGACGCAGAACCCCATCCATTTACCATTGAACCTAAAAACAAATGTAGGGGTCTAGTGAGTTGTGCACATTTGATAGTTTTTGATCACCTAAAGCTTAAAGACCCACTTAATACATCCTTTCTCAACAGGAAAACCAAAATTCATTTGACAGAGCTTGGTACAAAAGAGCAGTACTCATCTAAAGCTTAAAGCCCCACTTAATACATCCTTTCATAACAGGAAACCCAAAGTTTATCTGACAGTCCTTGGTATAAAAGAGCACTATCAAAGCTAAGTGGGATCTCATTCATAGCTTGCTCCATGTTGCTTTGATCCTGTAAACAAAATGATACATATTCTCTACAAATGTGAAGGCTTCATAATAAATTCTATTGAAAATTAATAGATTTTCCCTGAGATTGAAATGAAAGTGATTTTTTTTTTTTCACTTGACTTACTGTAAATCAGTACCTAGTTTGATATTTGCAAAATGAAGTCTTAATTTAGGACAGCATAGGTGTAAGTCTTGGTAGATATGGCTGAAATCAGACATGGGTTTCAAGAGCTATCCTGAATAATACTGGCATTATGTAATTTTCTCAATCAAAACCTTAAAATAGATGAGCAATTTTAATGGCCTGAAGAAAGCTGATCTAAAGTAGTTCATTCTCGTGGACTAAAGTTACTTTTTTAAAAGGTTAGAAATAATTAACATTCAAGAACAGAGCAAATATATATACTCAAATTTAATACTGAGTCAGTCACTAAGCCAATGCTGGCCTTATGGTACCTTCTAGCTATGGATTACCACCACTGCAGGAGAGGAAAGTGATAATAACATCATAAAAATGCAGTCAGAAAACAAGATACCAGAAAAAGCACATGAAAAAAAAATAGAAATCTTGACATAACTAAAATGTAAAGAGCAAAACAGTGAAGGAAGGATTCATCTTCTTTGCTCTTCATATATATTTGCTTTTATTTTTTCCAATGCATGAAGCATCGATCAGCTACCCAACGTGGTAGTACAATATATTTTCAAAAGCTATGGGTCAGTTCAGATTTTTTTCAAAGTACCGAAATTCTGTTTCTTTTGTGGCTTCAGATGGAGTTGATGGTGTTCTGTACTTCTAAAAATCATGAGTAAATGTCACAGGGTAATTCTACACTGTGCAGTGGAGCAGGAGGCAAAGGAAACTTAGCTAGCACTAAGTACCCAGCTTTGCTCCAGGAACAGGACAGCCATGCTAGTTAGTTACCACGTCCAGCTGAGGTGCAGAGCTACCAGACTGCTTCTGGGACCTGAGCTGCTGCATGGCATTGCATGGTGCTGTGTAGACAAAGCATATTATTCTGAGATAGCACAGGCATCTATCTTGAAATACCTGAAATCCGCTTTTTAAAAACAGTGGCATGCATTTATTGGAAAAAAAAAAGCTCAGTGAACCCATGAGAATCTGCAGAGAACTGGTTTTCAAGGATATGAAGACACATGTGGAGAGATACACCATGGTCCTGACTTAACTATTCAGTTAGCACAGCTGAATTTATGTAAATGTACGTAAGATGTGTAGCAGTGTAAGTCATGTTCTTCAAAGCCTTTTTTTAATCCATGTCCAAGAAAGTATTATTGTGTTCAAAATTGTTAACTAGTAAATCAATAATGACCTGTTTATTGGTACCAAATTGATAGGTTAATTAACTAATGGTGGTGTCAAATATTAAAAATATCCTGCAAAAATAAGTCATGAGTACAATAAATGAATACTGGAATTTAGTCAGTAGCACGCTGCACCACAAAGCCCAAGAACAATGGATTATTTTGTGATGCTGCAGTGACCAAACCTTTTAATGTCAGCAAAGTGGAAGGCTGTAATAACAAAAGTCCATGCACTCCTAAGACACAAGAAAAGAAACCAAAGAGGTCTATGGAGGTCTGACAGGCAGAAAGTGTGTTAAGTGCAACAGAGAGTGACAGAGTTTGATTCTGCTTGCCAAGAGCACACATAAAATTGTTATTTTCCAAACAGACTCAACCTGATGCAGACAGATGTAAGGAAGCCTAGATAACAGCGCCTAGATAACAGCAAGGGAAAGCTAAAACTGAATTTCCTCCGAGAAGACAGTTTCTGAACTATCAAAGTGAGATAGGACATCATAGAGAATGGAGAGTAAAAAGGCTTAGCAACAGTTATTGATGATGTATGAAAAGAGATACTACAGATAAAACACTTCATGAAGATGTAAGAAAATGAAATGCTGTAGCTGAGGACATTTTCAAACAATCACTTATCGACATATTCTGCAAAATATGTAAGCACAAGCTGAAACATAAAAATATAACTAGACCTACAGATATCAAAGGACGATACTTGGGTGCTAAAAATGTAACATGTATCTCGTTAGTTTCAGGGCCCAAGGGTTTTGTATATTACATTTTACTCTTTACATAGAGACATGTAGAAACATATACTGTACAGAAAAGGTATGGTTTCCAGTATCATAGGCACAAGACTGGATGTTTTAAAGGAACTTAGGTTTGAATTTCCATTTGCTCACATTGCTCTGTCCATTTGCTAACCAGTCAGTCAGCTGTTACACAACATACAACACACATGATAATTTGGATGGGATGCTTTCAGGGTATGTCTGGGAACTGTTGCTATTTTTCATCTGCTCTTTGAAGGGCTGGACTGAAGTTCATCCAGTCCAAAAGAATAATCCACGTTTTAAGTATGAAATATACTAAAAATCTGCAAAAGCCCATGATGTCCTCTCCAATGTGTGTGCATACACCTATCTTTCTAAACACTCATAGGCATGCCAGGTATTCCTAAAAATAGCTAAATTTTAATTATAAGTAGAGTGCTCTTATCCAACTGCCATTTTTTTCAGGCTAACCCTATAGGAAAGACCTGTTCCTGAACTCTTCTGCATTCCCATGGACAGTAAGCATTCGCAAGGCTAGGAATAGTGCACGCTGCCCATGGATCGCTTCCCCTTCCCCTCTCCTCCAGCAGCTGTGTTAGGAGGGACTGCCTGTCAGGCTTGAAGCGTAGCTCAGTTCTCACAGGGACAGGAGCTTTACCGGGACTAAAGCAATCAATGACCCCACCTGGAGTACTGCATCCAGTTCTGGGGTCCCCAGAACAAGACAGATATGGACCTGTTGCAGCGGGTCCAGAGGAGGGCCACAAAAATGATCCGAGGGCTGGAGCACCTCTCCTGTGAGGCCAGGCTGAGAGGGTTGGGGTTGTTCAGCCTGGAGAAGAGAAGGCTGCGAGGAGACCTTATTGCGGCCTTTCAGTACTTAAAGGGGGCTTATAAGAAAGAAAGAGAAAGACTGTTTACCAAGGCCTGCAGTGACAGGACAAGGGGCAATGGTTTTAAACTGAAAAAGGGGGTAGGTTTAGATTGGATATAAGGAAGAAATTTTTAACAATGAGGGTGGTGAGGCACTGGAACGGGTTGCCCCGAGAAGTTGTGCATGCTCCATCATTGGAAGTGTTTCAAAGTGAGGTGGGATGGGGCTTTGAGCAACTTGGTCTAGTGAAAGATGTCCCTGCCTATGGCAAGGGGGTTGGATCAGATGACGTTTAAAGGTCACTTCCAGCTCAAACCATTCTATGATTCAATGATTCTGTGATACTTCTGGCTGCTGGAAGGAGAGGAAAAACTCTTAATAACTGCTGAAGTCAGAAAGCTACCATAAGACATATACATCACCCACAGCTCTATCTGACCAGGTAGCTAAAGGTGAAATGTCTACATTATTTCTACTGGCTCCTGAGCCATTCAGTTTCCCTACCTA